AAGCTTAAAAAATTTACATGAATACATATACATATAAAAAAAAAAAGTTTTTCAACGTAATCATAAAAATTTGATTTTTAATGCTGTTTTTTTTAACTTTTTTTCAAAGGTTGGTTTAAGGAACACTTGAATAACTCAGCCACAACTATACCGTTTTAGACTTACGAGGCAGCATTGGAAAGCTATTTCTTTTTTAAACCAATCTTTGAAAAAAGTTCAAAAATTGCTTCAAAAATCTTATTATTATGATTCCATTGAAAACTTTTTTAAATACATATTAAAAAAAAATATTTACCTTAAACTGTTTTGTCAACTGTGGTGATTTATTTCAAAATACTATAATATTTTTCCGAAATATTTTGGCAGAAGTCTTAGAATATAATGGATTTTATGATTCCAATGGAAAAACAGTACCGATTTTTTTTTTGTATGGGAAGGGATGCACTCTAATGTATATAAATAGGTGCGCACATATATAATATACCCAGAAAGGCAATGAATTTGATGGAATTGCAAAAAAGTAAGAAGCAAAGAAACTGCCACAGTAATTGTGTTACAAGATGCCTCAACAGCAGCAGCAGCAGCAGCAGTCCGAAGAGAAGAGCATCGATGTTGAAAGAAATTACAAAATTATACAAAATGCATGAATGATCTTTGCTTACGCCGCGCCGTTACCAGCACAGGGCACACTGCAGAGAATACTACTTTTGTAGTTGTTCACTTACTTACAAACATACATATGTATGTATGTATATATATATATAGGTGCACTGCAGCAACTATAAAAGCGAACCTATGCTTCCGCTAACGAAGGCACAGAAACTATGAATAACGAAGTGCACCAAAATATATTTGGCTGCAAAAAAAAAAAAGAATGCAGTGTATAGATGTGTGTGTGTGTGTGTGCATTCTAAAGATATGCCTGAGAAGGCATAAAGACGCTGCTTGCAATAGATATCTATAAGTAGTAAATGCCAACTCTTCCAGCCAGCGAGATGCTCACTCGAAGAAAATGCGCTGTTTGTTGTTGCTTTGGTAAACGAGTAAGCAAGCGACCAGAAAGCAGCGTTACAAAGATACATACATATGTACATGTGGATGTATGTATGGCAGTTGATCGACATGGGAGCGCACAGCAATGATGCCTAAACATGGAAAATGCTTATACAAAACTCACATAAATACATACATACTTACAACTGTAAGTACTAAAGTACAATAAGTGAATGATCTGCCTATCGGTCGGTCGTTTCATTTACGGGGTCGCAATGCTTCAGCTGCCTCCGCTCGAAAGTGTGAGGCATCATGAGTAAAAACTAACCCAAAAGAAAGTGCCAGCCTAGCTAAATGAATTGCGCTTTGAGTGAGCGCTGAAGTATGTGTATGTGTGGTAGCCAAGCCACACAATAGAAAATAAATACAATAATAATAAAAACAAAACAAAAAAAAACAAGTATCACAAAACAAATCTTCAACAATTCTCTAAGTCAAAGCAAAGAGCTCTAAAACAGCATAGAATTTTCTCGTTGACTTGACTTCCTTCTTGCAGATGCGGCGTGTAGAACTCGTATACATACATATGTATATACGACGGGTGCAAGAAGGGTAGTGGAAAATTTTCTTCATCTTAGAGTTGTTGTTTTTTTTTTTGCGGTGTGCTGGAGGAGGAAGAAGAAATGGTGGAAAACTCTTTTGATAGCAGCAAAGGGAAATGCTGAAATTCGAATACTTGCATGTAGACACATATTTGTATGATAGTATTTGTGTTGTTAGTATGCGCTTCAATAAAATAAAAATTTATACATATGTGTGCATGTATACTTCGTTAAAATAGTAAAATAGAGCAACAACACAGCACATAAGAAAAATGTTGATAAACGTGTTAAATGTTTAGCGTCCAGCACAGCGTTTGCTGGCTTACGAATTTGGAAGTTTTTGTTAGAAATGCGCTGAGAAACTCATATTTAATATTGAATTGCCGTTGTCTTGTGCCCTCCATTCAGGGCATATTATGCCTGTGGATCCCTTCTTAGTGAAAAGGCCTTTGATGTTCTAGGGGCTGCACGAATGACATTGCCATTCTTATCAAAGGTAGGTTTGACGGGGCTATATCTAAACTCTTATATAACGCATATTACAGGCAAAACATACGACCAACATACCTAAGTACGTAGTTATTTTCCCCAGAAAAGGAAAAATCGCTAGAGATGTTTTTTTCAAGCTGAAAAGATACAGTCTGTGAGTTGCCGTGTAATTCGCAGCCATCCTTGCGGCCGTGTTTTGGAATCCATATCCCCGCAGACCAAGCTCAGCGTACTCTCACAATTAGCCTGCATGGACATCACTGGTGCGATGAGAACAACAGCGATTGCAGCTCTCGAGGTGCTTTAAGACTCGCTTCTCCTACGCACAGCAATAAAGGAAGTTACTCATCGGCCTACTATTGATGAAGAAGGAACCGCAACTTCACGGGACCAAAAGTATCAAAAGTAATTGACGGGCTAAAAGTTTTCCTTCACCTTGCTAGGCGTCAAGTAAAAATTGTAATAGGCTTTTTTATTACTCGCTACTGCTGCGAGGTAATGCAGCACTTGTCAAACCCGGACCAGACTTTGCTGTTTGGAGCCCCATAACAAGTAACACATAACCTAAACAGTACTTAACTAAGGGGCATCGCGGGGTTTCTTAGCCACACGTGGTCTATAGCAAAAGATCTTATGTTTGGTGCATTCTCTTAATTTAATTATAATCAAATGATAAATAAACGATGACGTTAAAGTTATCGATAGAAAAAAAACAGTCGATAGCAAAAAAATGTCGATAACAAAAAGTGTATTAATTACTAATCGAAAGAAAGAAAATAAAATTGTTGCAATGATAAAAGTATCGATGACGATAAATATAACGATAGTAAAAATATCGATATAAAAGAATATCGATATAAAAAAATTTCGATAACAAAAACAGATATCTATACCAAAAAAATATCGATAGCGAAAAATTTCGATACCGATATTTTTTCCGATAATATTTTAACGAACCTTGACATAAAAACTCTTAAATGCTTACTTCTCTTCACTTCGTTTCTTCTTCAGTCAGTGATTCTGCATATACTTACATGTGTATGTGCATATGTAAATATGTAGATACTTTTACTGAAGTATTTAATCATTCAGTTTTTATTTTGCATCGCACTAACGCCATTACTCACACACTCGCGCACTTAATCTGAATGTAAATTTTTCCATACACATTTTTGCTGTGAATAAAGGTAAAATTTGACCTAAAAAATTATCACAATGTTGTTTTGCACAACAGAAAAAAATAAAAAATAAAATAAATACACAACTACGAAAAACAGAGCGAAAAAAGCTCAATAGATAAGCACGGCCGTTGGTAAATTCTCTGTATTTTAACCATTTTTTTTTTATCAAGTTAACTGAAATATGTACGTTGGAAACGCAACAGGCGCACATTGATGATACTAGTTACTATATGTATGTAGAAGGTAGAAATTATATGTACACCTTTGTATATGTAAGTATGTACAAATTTAAAACCGTAACAAGTGCGATAATAACAACAAAAAGTACAGTTATAACCAAACGCTTGTTGAAAAAACTATCTATTATCTGACAATAAAACATTAGAAGTGCGTAAATAGGCGAGAGCAGACAAAAAATCACAATAAAAGATTTTGTTTTAGATAATTTTGATACATGCGAATACAATTGGTTTTTGTTTTTGATTTGATATTGCTTCAAATATTTTACGATATTTTAAAACACATTTTTTTTTTGTATATTTTCTACGAAAAACGATTGCTTTTTACGTGCATACATATTTATGTATGCGGCAGATGTAATAGACTGGCCTTACTTTGAAAATTTTGTTTATAAAAGCCTGGCTAGTTAGACAACAGACATCATATAAATACACTTTTCAAACTTTGTATAAAAATTATAGAAATTCGAAAAATTTTCAACAAATTTTCACACTTTTTATTCAGAGTTTTGAGAAACAAAAAAAAATATTCAAAAATTAACGGTATTTTCTAGCCACTTAAAATTTACAATCTATTATACTAAAATTGAAAACTGCATACCAACAATTTTTCTAAAAATTCTGAATAAGAAGTTTGAAAATTTGATGGAAATTTGTCGAATTTTTATGATTTTTGTTCAAAGTTTCAAAAGCGGATTTATATAAAAAAATATTAAACATAAAATAAACTAAAGAGATATAGCCCAAACTCTTCAAAGTACGACGAGTCTATTATTTCTGCTGCCGGTGTATATATTCGCTTAACCGTTTATTGTTTAGCTTAAACAAAATAAAATTTGCGATTTTTTTCTTGCGCTAAAAAATAAACAAGAAATTAAGCAAAAATTAGCAGACAAAGTATTTCCAGATTTTAGTCAAATATATGCATATATACATACATACAACATGCATTCAAAAACGTTGCAAAATATTTAAAAAAAAGTATACATTTTCGGGGAATTATTAGCTGATAAGAGACGTTGAGCAAAGATGAAGTCATCGTGTGCTTATTAAGCTGCATGGACTTCAAATAATATACTATGCCCAAAATAACGACTGAATTGTTCACAGCCGCTAGCGTCTCTCTCCCCTCCGATATCGCTCTACTCACCGCTTAGATAGCGATCTAAATTTTGTGAAACGAGTAACATTGAAAAAAAAAAATCACCCACAAGTATGATGCTACAAGCCATGATAAAAAAGGGAAGGCGGCAAGTGCTGGAAAGAATTTTTCTACAATAACATTAACCCTTGATATACTCAACTGTTTCGGCGGTTACTTATTGATCATTTACTTTTTGTTGCCTGCTAGCGGAGCTTGAAGATTTTGGTAGATCTAAATTATCTTTCGTGCACTCTTTTTCTTAGCGTAACTCTTTGGAAAATCGTTGCTCGATTTATCATACCGTTACAACTGTCTTGATGAATGGCGTTGGTCAATTTCGGTTTGGTTTTTCTGTTCCAATGCTGACTTTTCTGAAACTTTATTTACTGGCTCATCCCTTTGCTCTTTCGTTGCTCATTTAGCTGATCGAGCGATATTCAGCATTCTACTTAGTTTTCTTATTTGCATTACTTGACTCTTTAAGTTCTCTCCTACTTTGTTTGATGGCGCCATATTGTCTCTCACTTGTTGATCATCATGTTTTTGCTCCGACCGTTGATGTTTGAATGGAATTTTTTGGCTTATCAAGTATTATTTCTAAGATTATATATTTAAACGTTTGTTCATGACCTGATGGCCCTCAAAGTGCTAAATCACTTTTGTTCTTTTTATTGCAACACAATTTCTGTTGTTGCTACATTTTCCCCCTCGCGCACCTTTTAAAATTTCCCAAATCGTTGGTCATCCTTAGATGGCGTTTGACTTTTTAGCTCACCTGGCTCTATTTGCCGTCATACTATCTAAAATAATATTTTCAAACAGTTTGTCCAGTCTAGTCGAACGTCTGCTTCCTAACTCCGATTGTTCCAGTGTTGCGCTATTCCTTTGTACCGCATCTTGCTATATTCTCTCTCAGATACTTTGTTTCCGAGAAACTAATTTTCTTTAGAAGCTTGTAGCCTTCCCAGTTGTGGTTTTTGTCTCGGCCGCAATGTGCTTCTAGAGGACGTCTCTCTTCCAAGTCCTGCAACTTTTCCACTTTGGTCATATTGTTGTTTACGCTGTTCGGCTATGCGCGATAATATTGTTTCCGAGAGTTGTATAGATCGTTGTTCTTGAAGTTCGCTTTATTCTCCAGTTTGTGATAGCCGCTTTTTAATCGTCGACTATTACTTAATCTACTTGGCCGCTTAGTACTTTCTAAAATACTCTTATCTGGTAGCGTATTTTTTAAAACGCTATCACTCTTAATTTTTTGTTATATTGCTGATACCGTTTTGTTGATGTTGGGCCGCTTAGATAATTTTCTTGTGCCTTATTTTTCGATATTCGGTCCAGTCTTTTCGGAGATGCTTTCATTTGGAGTTCTTGTGATCGTTTATTGTCCGTGTCGCCACACAAACAGTGTTCGTAGTGGGCTTAAATGCGCATGTCCGGTATCAACTGTTGTCTATATTTGGCTTCTTCAATTACTGACTTTTTGGTCTTAGCTTCGTACAACGCTTGTTTCGTAGCGTCATTTGATGATCGATTAACTCTTTGCTTGTATTGATTAGCTTCTTTATTCCTCGGTAGTACTACTTCTGACGCTCTGATTTCTAAACGAAAATCCCATTTAACCCTATAATCTTGTGCGTGCTGCTTAGATGAGTCTCGATTGGCTAATCTTGTTTCATAACTGTGTCTTGTCGTCTTGTTTTCTGAACTTTGATTGTTTTGAGACTCTCTCCGTGGTTTTTCGTTTAGCGCTAGGTAGGAAGGGCTGAGCGTAGAACAACTTTCAAGACTTTTGTTATTTACAACGTCACTTTTGGGTAAATAACTTTATCGCCTTTCGTTGAGGCTCTTCCATTTGTTCCATATATGGCAAAGTTTCCAGCTCCGTTTCAGACTTTGGGTTAGGTGTGCTTGTTGCTCTGATCTGCTGATCTTATTCTGTTGGCTGATTTCATTTTCATTTTGCTTGGACACATTTTCATTTATTTTCCGAGGTAGCCGAGGCTGCCTTTACAAAGACGTGAAGCACCTTGAGTGTAAACTTCATCTGTTCCAGTACCGGAAGTACTCTCCCAAGGCTCAAGTGATTCGCTCTCCTTCTGGTGCTCGTCTCTTGCTCCTCTAGTTCGTTCATTATAATCTCTTGAGTTGAAATACCTACGACCCGCTAAGAAACCAGAGCTATGTTGGGAATGAGCAATGAAAATGTCTACAAACTCACGGCTGTCTTCTGCAGGTTCTGCCGAAACTGTAAGGACACGAGCGCCAAGAAGGCTGTTGAACGCTTTTTCTGCGAGCGATCGGCTTTTGTAAGCTTGAGGATAAATACACACGTGCAGAATTTTTACTTAGTTTTTTTGTGAATTTTTTGGTTTGAAAAAAAAATATATATATATTTATATTAAAAAAAAAATTATTTTAAAATATTTTTTTACAATTTTAAGCTTATTTGATCTGATTTTTATAGAAATACTTTTGTGTTCGAAAAAACTTGAAATATTTTTGAATGGATTTTTTTTTTAATATCGTAACTTAACTTAAATTTGCTTTTATATACTGCATTTTCTTCTCGATAAAACTTGAAGAATTGTGAAATTAAAAAAAAACAATGGAAAAAGTAAAAAAAGTCGAAACTAAAAAGATATACACTTTGATATAAAATTTGGAAACAAAAAAAAGTGTTTTTTAACATTTTGCCGGCAAAAGAACAAGAAAAGAAAAAATGCCTAGCCTCAGTAACTAAATTTTATTTTTTTTATAAATTTTTAAAACACTTTAAGGTTAAACGAATTTCAGCGATATTTATTAATATCATTTCCCAATTGAAGAAATATTTATCCCATAATTTTGTTCAACTTTGAACAACAATAAGTTTAAGGTTGCTTTCTATTAAACATTTAATTTTGATTTCATCTCACTTGGTAAAATTTGCTTGCTGATTAAGAAACATTAAAAATGTTTGGTGGTGGAAAGTTTCTAGCAAAAAATGGCATTCTTAAAATTATACACTTATGCCGAATTTCCACTAGGCACTGAAATGACAAAAAATTGGTGCCACTTAAAAAAAGCGAATTAATGGCTATTCCTGTAAAGTAATGACACGATTATTTTTTAATGCACATCTTTGTCATTGAAATTTTTGCCATTTAATGGCTAGTGGAAATCCAAAATTAGAAACTCGAGATAAGTAAGATTCGAGAATACAAAATTTTTAAAATAAAAAAAATTAAAAAAAAATTTTATGTTCACTTTTATTTTTACACATACACATACAACCCTAAAATCACAACAAACAACAACAAAAAATTATGTTTTGCTGCAAATTAAAGCCAATAAAATTTCGATATTTCTAAGAAATTTTTTTTTTTATGAAACAACAAAAAATTCAACTGAATTGAGAAATAAAAATAACACACACAACAACAACAATATACATACACCAAGTAATGTCACTTTGCAAAAAAAAACCAAAAATTATTTAGAAAACGGAAATTATATTCATGCACAAAATTAGCTTAAAAATCGCGCAAATTTTATTAACGTTTATTTACACAAAATAAAGCCAATTAAATATTTAATATTTTGAAATACAACAAAAGCAGCAAATTATTATTTTTTTTGAATTTTTTAAACACAAAGCTATTTATAATATGTATTTTTTTATTAAATATTTAGGTTTGCAATTCACAAAAATATGAATGTTTTACCTAAATTTCACTTAATAAATCCAAGGATGGCGAACAAATGCAATTGTTGTTGTTGTTGTTGTTTTGCAGCAGCTGCGTTGGGTGACAGTGGTTACGGTTTTCCCCAAATTTATTGTTGTTGTTGTTGCAGTAATTTAAATTGTCTAAGTTTGACGTTTAATTTTGTTTGTGCAAAAATCTATTGTTGTTGCTTTTTGTGTTAATTACAAAAGGGTAGGCTGACGCTTCGCATTTTCTCACGCACACAAACACATTGACGAAGACACAAAAATATTTTATTTGCAGAAGTGCACTATGTGTACTATCTCTTTATCAGTTGCTCAAAATTAGTTTTTTTTCTAATTTTTTCAAAATTTTTGGAAGTTTTTTTTTAGCTCTGCCAATTTTCTATAGCCTTTTGGCTCTATGAAATATCATTTTCTTATATGTATTTTATTTACTTTTTCCAATACTAATTTATTTATTTTTGGTAAAATTTTTCAACTTACTTTTTGGAATTACGTTTCGTTGTTTGTTTCGAAAACATGGGAATTTTGTCAACAATCAGTTGCATCGCTCGAAAAACACACACATTAACACTGACTTTTTGTTGCGGCCGCTTGCACTCTAACCACACACAAAAGCGTTTGCTATGCTATACTATGCACTGGCTGGGTTTTAGTCTTGTTTTTGCTTATGAATTTTATTTTTATTTTTTGTTATTGTTTTTTTTTAGTTTTAGCATAAGTTGCTTTTTGCAAAAATTTTTAATAAAATTTTATTTTTAAAAATTTTTTCGAAATTTTCTTTAAATATTTTTTTTCGAAATTATATGTTCCAAAGTTTTCGTTTTCAAAGTTTTTTAGAAAACAGTTTTCAAAGAGTTTTTTATTTTCTATTTTTTTTTTTGCAAAACAATTTCTGCTGCTCTTGCTTTACAGTGTATCTCTATCGACAATGCTGCTGTTGGTTATTAGGAATATTTGTTGTTGCAATTAATTTAATTACTTAGGTTTGTTTTTTCTTTAATTTTCAATAATACTGTTGTTGTTAAGTGGAGAAAATTCGTTTAAAATATTTTTTTTTTCTGATGAGGAACTTTTTGCTTCAGCAATTTGTGTAGGTGCGTTTATATATATATTTTTTTTTAGTTTTGCACTAATTTGCAAAATAAATGTTTTAGTTATGCTTGTTGTTGTTGTTGTTTCTGCTGTTTACATTTTATAGCTTATCGGCTGCTGCTGTTGCTTTTGCTCTGCTCACTCGCTCAATTCGGCTTGCACGTGTTCTTTTGTTGCTTGCAACTTATCGCTCACAATTTGCGCGTGTATGCGTACGCATGTATATGGGTGTGTGTTAGGCTGTGTGTGGCCGCTTGGCGTTACTTGTTGTTGTTGTTTATCCGTGCGTGCGTGCTTGCTACCGCTAGTTGAGGTATGCTTGGGCAGCTAACAAAAATGCATTTAACGCAGCATCACACGCTTTTCGGGTTTGGCGCTTAGTAGCGTTTGAGTTTTTGACACTTTGAATTATTTTTCCGCTAACTTTTTTCAAGTAACTATTTGTTTAGTTGGTTTTAATTGTTTGAGTCACAGTTTTTTTTTTGAATTTTTCAACTTGCTGCTTTGGCGCAGAATTTCGGTGCCTTAAATTTTTTTCCCACAAATGTTTTGAAAAATTTTCTTCACTTTTTGCTCTTTCTTAATTTTTTTGTTTAGCGCTGATGTTTTATTTCCCCGGCAATTTTTGGTTTTGCGTAAATTTTAAATTTTTACCAACCTTTTTTTTGCTGTTCTTTTAGCTTTAAAATGGTTTTAGTTTTGTACAGCTGTTGCTGTTCAGTTTTCAAAATCTCTCTTTACACACTTTCACTTGCACAGTAATTATCAAGCGATAGCTGGTCTATGTGTGTAAATATGTATGTATATTTCTTATCAGTTGCGCTTTATTTATAATTTTTGATTTTATTTTTAATTTTTTCACTCACGTTTTTGCTTTTGTGAATTTTCCTAAATTTGTGTTTTGCAAACCTTTTCTTTTAAATACCCAAAATTCTCTTTTCTATTTTATGTGTGCAAGATTTTGTGCGTCACTTTTCTTTTTTGTTTTTATTGTTGTATGTTTTTTTTTTAGTTTTTCCTTTTCTTTTGCAACACCAGCACTCTTTTTATTGCATTGCTCCAAATTTTGCAACTGGCTTTTTGCTGCTATTTGTATCTACGATTTGTTGCCTTTCGCCAAACAAAAATTTCACCGCTGACACTTGATAGACAAACAACAGTCCGCCAGTGTTATTTTTGTTTTTGTTGTAGTTGTTTTTTTTTTTTTTGCGCAATTTACTTCACACACGAACCGGTTGGCTTTAAAATTTTTAATAAATGTTTTTACTTGTAGTTAATAACTTTCACATTTTTTTTTTAATTTTTTAATGGTCTGTTGTATTTCACTGCACAGCGGTTTTTTTTTAATTTTCTTAAGTTTCAGAATTTTTTCTTACATCAAGTTTTCTCTTATCACTCGCTGCACTTAGTGCTTATTAGCTACTGTTATCTGCTTAGTATCTCTCAAAAATTTTCATTCATAACTGTCACACAACTTCAATTAATTCAGTAATTAATTATTTAATTTGTTTTTACTTTTTGCATTTTTTTTATTATCAATGCCTTTATTTGCTTTTTATCAGTCGAACGCCGTTAATCCAATGCGCCAGCGTTGACAGTGACTTTTAGCTGTTCTCGTTTTGTAATTAATTTTTTTTTTAAATAAAATCTTTTAATTTGCTTCACTTAATTCTTTCTCTTCGTACGCGTCATCCACTAATTATCATCTACTCGGATTGTTGAATGCTGCAAATTTTTTTGCTCGGTGAATCTTGAATATGTTTTTCTTGTTATATTTTTGTTATTGCCGCGTCGCGCGTACGTTCAGGAAAACATGACGACATTTGACAGCAGCCAGAAAGGAACTAAACTTCAATTTGCGGCCGAACTGCCAGCGACAGCACAAAACTCGAAACTGAAAACTGCTTTAGCTAAATGGTTCACTTGGACGTAGTACTGAATGCATGCATGCCATGCCGCCTGCCTGTCCGCCTTGCCGCTCTGCCAGCCGCGCTCGTTCAATCGCTCGTTCGTTCATTCGTTTTGGCTGCTCGTTGCCTGCCGCAGCGGCTGCTGACTGCCTCCACCATTGTATGTGCATACATACATATTTGTGGATACAGGTCTCTAGACTCGAACGTTTGTGTCTCAGTGGTGTGGTTGGTGGGGTGCTGCGTTCGTTTTCTCGCCTCATCTTGAATGTACTCTGCCCCAGCGCCCATGCTTGGTACGAATGTACGAGTATGCGCGCATACGTACATTAATTTTAACGCTGCGGCGCTCTGCTCCCTCATCTCACCTCGGCGCGCGCGTTGAGCGCACAAACCGATAGAGAGTTGTTCAAGAAAAAAAAGACAACAAAAAAAAATATGCGCGAGAGCACGTCGCTTGTTTCGTTGCTTGTTTTGTTGCTGTGCATTCGATTTGTACGTTACTCGTACGACGAATTTGCTTAGTCGCTGTGTATCTCATAGATATATCGAACGCGCTCACATACGTTTGTATGCATAATCGCGCGCACGCATATATGTATATAGTTATTTTACCTTTCCATTACACACACAAACAAACACGAGCGCGCCATTGCGCTCTCCCTCGCAAGTAGTTTAGAGAAATTTCGTTCGTGCGGCTTTATAAAAATGTGCGCGCGCGTGTGTGTGTGTGCGTGTATGAGTGCGCGCACATTTGTGTTAACGAGCGCAAAGCAACCGAGCGACCGCAAAGCAAAACCAGCTTGCGCGTGTATTCGCCTGAGTATTGTACATACATATGCCACGTTCGTGCGTTTGTGTATATTTCTCATATCAACGTTGTTCGTTGGCCCTGTGACGGTGACTTTTACGAGCGCTGTCGCGTTGGCAATGGTGGTGGTGGCAGAGCGCGCGCGGTTGTACGCATAACATTTAGCTACAATTCGAAGTACCGACTATATATGTACGTACGTATGTATGTAAGTAAGTGCGCGCTGCATTGCTTTCTGCTCGACGCGCTGGCGCGCATATCAACTCTGCGGCGGCACAGTGAACCTGTGTTTGACACCGGCCACCCTCCGTTTGCTGCTCGAAACGCGGTCGCGCGCGTTGGTTTTACGCGCACTCAATGCCCTGCCCTCTCTTCCTCCCCACCCAACACTGCTCGTTTCATTACGCGACCGCGCTGTTTTGCTGTTTATCATTTTTTTTCGCCTGCTTATACGCTTTGCGCTATGTGGTTGCTGTGATTTTTCTATATTTCATACATATTTTGGTTTGCTCATTCTCTCACACCCTTTGCGTCACCGCCGCCGCTATCACTACCATCACTACCTCCTTTAGCAGCAGTCGGCTGGCGCTCAGTTCGCTGTAGATATTTTTTTGTGTCACAGTAGCATTTTGTTGCTGTGCTGCTGCTGCTGCGCTGCTGCTCATATCTTGGCTGATGTTGCCTATGCTGCTCCTTCCTGCTTGTCTCAGCTTCTGCCGCTTATGTTGATTTATTTTGGAAATGTTTTGCGTTGACTAAATTTTTTTTTGTTTTTGCTTTACTTTTTTTCTCTGCTACCTTTTATGCTCTGCTTCTTTGCCTTGTTGGCCATAGGCGAGCTGCTTCGCTAGTTAGAGGGACGCGCGCTGAGCCATCAAACCTCCAGCGCTGCCACCCACTGCTCCCCTTTCGTCTACCCATATTCACAGAAAATTTCTTATCGCCTTTTGGTTGCATGCGTTTTTTTGTTGCTTATCCGCGTCGGTGTTACAAACGTGTGCGCTCCCACACACATACACATACACATACACATTAGAGGTTTACGCCGACAGGCTTTGCGGCGGCGGCGTGGTCAACTTCAAAAATATTCGGCGGCGGCGGCGACGCCGGCGCGTTTGGAAACGCCGGCGCTATTGCTCATAAGGTAGATTTCAAAGAGCCATGAGGCTACTAATCTTATCATTTCAACTCGTCAGCGTTAGGCATTCGCGATGCCAATTATTCTGTTATTATAATTCTATTTATTTCTTTATTGAATTAGTTTTAAATTTAAATATTGTTACTTCCTACTTGAATTAAAATGTTGAGTGTCTGGCGCTGATTGATGGGCGAACAGAAGAAGGTCTGAGGTATATACATAAATAATCACACGGATCTCTATGTTCTCTACAGATCCGTTTATGCTATTGAAATTTAAAGAAATAAAAAAATGTTAAAAGTTTAGTTGTTGGGGTAATTTATGTCGCTCTCAATAAATTTTTGCAATAATCTTATCAACCGTTATATTAAAACACGGAGTTCCTACGATTTTTTGCGGATTACATATTGAAAACAAGGTTTGTCTACTTTTTTTCCAAAAGTTTAACCCATCAACTCGAACCAGAATGGGCCTTTTTGACCCACTGTTGGAAAAAATGGCTTATAGATGGTTAACATTTCCACTAAAATATGAAGCGCCAAATTTTTCTAACGAGAACCGAATGTAATGAAAAACAAGTAAGAGCAGCGCTGTCTTCGGCTATGCCGAAGGCTTCATACCTTTCATGAACATCTACAAATTTTACTTTGACAGATTACTGCTTTTGAATACATCTGCATACATCGATAGAGGAGTTACATACCTATATAAAAAATCGCATCTGAACAATCAGAGGTATTGAAGATATACCTTATATTAGCACCAATC